CCCACTGGTTAGCTCTGTAATGAAACTTTGGGGGATCCTAATTCCTCTGTGAATCTCAAATCTTCCATTCAAAGCCGTATCTGCTTTCCACTTGGTGAGCCTTTGATTCCAAGTAATCTTGGCTAAGACTTCCCTTTATGTTGTTTCCAGCACTTAGATGAAACAAGAGGCTCTGCTCCTCATTTAGAAACATAAATGCATCTTAGAACTAAGATATGCACTTACCCGTGCTTTTGTATAAGGCTGTAATGCCATCTGGTGATCATACAAAGAAGAAAAGTCAAACTTTATCATTGAATATTTATTTAGTGGCTCATCAGCAAAAAGACACACTGCAAACCAAACTTAATACAAGATTTCAGTCATTAAATGCCTATTTCATTAAGGACACATTACAAGGGTAGGGATTCAATGACCAATTGCCAGCTCTTAAGGATCATAGTCTGATGGTGAATGGACAAGGAGTCTGGCCTCAAGGTGGGCCTGGCTGTGAGTAGAGATGAATCAAGAGCTCTACGTTGGTTTAGGTTACTTGGGAGTGGGTGAGGTGTGCACCAGGGATGGTAAAGAATGAGGCTACAAAGCAAGAATTTCTGCTAAGACTTTGAAAGGTCTAAGTGACAAGCTTGATACAGCTATGTTATGTAAGACTTTAAACACCAGGAAAGAATCTGGATTTGCGCTGATAATGAAGACCTTTTACAGTTTTGCACAGGAGACATATTGAGGACATGTATTTGATACCACACAATCACTAAGCAGCTGATAATACTTTCTAATTATTATAATTTTTGAGGGTAAAGTACCATTATAGCTGTTTTATGTAAGAGATTAAGAAGCTTGCAGGTGATGCAGCTAAATAGTGACAAAAGCCAGAATCTGAACCCAGTTCTGTATCAATCCAAACACAGAGCTTGAGCATTACATGATATTGCCTTCACCAGAGCTGTAGTCTCAACCTCTTGACAGTCCACCATCTACTTATTTTTTTAACAGATTTAATGCCCTGAAACCAGGTCATTCCTATACTTTAAGCTATTTAAAAATAGAGAACTATTAACCAGTGGCTCTTTTAGCAGTGGCATGGTGGGGGGGTGGGGGGGGTGGGAGGACAGGCAAGAGGAGGTTTAAGTAATTTTTGAACAAGTATTACATATAATAAAATTCAAAGAACACAAGTTTTCCCCAACTTGGGTTCCCCTACATAAAGGCAATCCACTTACCAATCATTTCTTGTGTATTCTAAGGATTTTCTATAAAGAAACACTTTGAATATACATATATGTGTATATGCTTGTGGTTTACTAAAGATGACCACAAATTATTTGCCATTCTTCTCATAGTGGAATCAATTTCTACTCTACCTGCATCTGGAAGGGCCCTATAAATGGCTTTCACCAACAGAATGCAGAAGTGACTTTTTCTCAGAAGAGACAAAATTTTTTTTTTTTTTAAGATTTTATTTATTTATTTGAGAGAGAGAATGAGAGAGAGCACATGAGAGGGGGGAGGGTCAGAGGGAGAAGCAGACTCCCCGCTGAGCAGGGAGCCCGATGCGGGACTCGATCCAGGGACTCCAGGATCATGACCTGAGCCGAAGGCAGTCGCTTAACCAACTGAGCCACCCAGGCACCCGAGACAAAATTTTAAGATCTTTTTTCATCCACTTGGAACCCAGTTGCCATGTGAAATCCCAACCACTGTGAAGAGGCCACAACAAAAGAACCAAAGCACTTCAAGTCTACAGCTCCAGCTGAATGAAGCCTCCAAATGGCTAGAGCTCCAGCCAAGTCCATGTAGAACACAACCACCCAGCTGAGCCCTATCAACCTGAAGAATTTTAATACTTGTTTGAACCATTAAGTTTTAAGGTGGTTTGTTATGTCATGATGCACTAAATGGAGATTTATTTACTTTTTATTTATTTATTTTTTTTAAAGATTTTATTTATTTAACAGAGAGAAACACAGCGAGAGAGGGAACACAAGCAGGGGGAGAAAGGGAGAACCTTGGGATAATGACCTGAGCCAAAGGCAGATGCTTAATGACTGAGCCACCCAGGCGCCCTTTTTACTTTTTTTAATACTTTAATAGTAATCTCTATGCCCAGTATGGGGCCTGAACTCATGAGCCTGAAATCGAGTTGCATGCTCTACTGATGGAGCCAGCCAAGTGCCCCTCCATACAGAATTTAAAAAATCTAGTCACATAATTCATTCCTTTTAAGTACTCTTCATTTTGTTTTTTTAACTCAGAAGGCAAAGGGATACTACACGATATTTTTTTTTTTAAAGATTTTATTTATTTGACAGAGAGAGACACAGCGAGAGAGGGAACACAAGTGGTGGGGGGAGTGGGAGAGGAAGAAGCAGGCCTCCCGCGGAGCAGGGAGCCCGATGTGGGGCTCGATCCCAGGACCCCGGGATCATGACCTGAGCCGAAGGCAGACGCTTAACGACTGAGCCACCCAGGCACCCCAAGGGATACTACACGATTAAAGGAAAAACCATGCTTTCTTATTGTACTTTCTAAATTTAATTCAGAGTCTATTTCTGGACTTCCTTTTATCTGTTCTATTCATTGAGTAAGCTAGTCAGGTGCCAGTATCAACATTTTACTTTTTGTGACATTTTAATATCTGGTAGGTCTAGTTATCCTGTATGATTCTACTTTTTCACATTATGATTATTCTTATTCTTCCATATGAATGTTACAATCAACTTGTGTAGTACAAAAAAAAATCCTGTTATTTTTATTGGAATTTTTATAAACTTACATTTTTCTTTAGGAGATTTATCTTTGGGGCACCTGGCTGGCTCAGTTGTTAAGCGTCTGCCTTTGGCTCGGGTCATGATCCTGGGGTCCTAGGATCGAGCCCCGCATCGGGCTCCCTGCTCAGCGGGGAGTCTGCTTCTCCCTCTCTCTGCCGCTACCCCTGCCTGTGCTCTCTCTCTCTGACAAATAAATAAATAAAATCTATAAAAAAGGGGGGGCGTCTGGGTGGCTCAGTCGTTAAGCGTCTGCCTTCGGCTCAGGTCCTAATCCCAGCGTCCTCGGATCGAGCCCCACATCCGGCTCCCTGCTCCGCGGGGAGCCTGCTTCTCCCTCTCCCACTCCCCCTGCTCGCGTGTCCTCTCTCTGTCTCTCTGTCAAATAAATAAATAAAATCTTAAAAAAAAGGGAGATTTATCTTTATGTTGAAATTTCTTAGACATGGTATGATTTACCATTTAAGGTCTCATTTGTGTCTGTCAGTATTTTAATGTTTTCCTCATCTGTAACATCTGTACATCTATCTAATTATTCCCATATTTATTTTCCTTCCAATTTATCTTCTACCTATTACTTGTTACTTCAATAAACCACTTTCAATGGACACCCATAGACATATTTCCAAGTAAACTTACCATCTATGAGTGATTTTTACTTCTTTCCCCATTTTTTTTTCTAATTATGTTTGATAGTAACCTTGAAAAAAGCTCTTTTTTTAAAAAATAGGATCATTTCTAGGGTTTCCTCATTAAGCATCACACAGTCTTTTGGAGTAAGACACTTTTAACAGGTTAGGAATGTTGACCCTCAGCAGTTTTAGCAAATGCTGTTTTAGCATGTAGGGAGATTATTCTCTTTTCTTTTTTTAAAGATTTTATTTATTTGACAGGGAGAGAGACAGAGAGAGAGGGAACACAAGCTGGGGGCAGGGGGGGAGTGGGAGAGGGAGAAGCAAGCCTCCCGCCGAGCGGGAGCCCAATGCAGGGCTAGATCCCAGGACCCTGGGGTCATGACCTGAGCTGAAGGCAGAGGCTTAACAACTGAGCCACCCAGGCGCCCATAGGGGGATTATTCTTGATATATTGTTGAAATAATCTCAGAATGACTTTTCTGTGTTGCATTATTATTTAACTGTTTATTACATGTATCTATAACATCTTTATGTCCCTAATTTAGCAGTTGTACTACTATATATGTAAAACTAAAATGGGAACCCTACTCTACTCCATCCTTTAATAAAGTAAATCTTTGAGGCACCTGGCTGGATCAGTCGGTTGAGCGTCCAACTCTTGATTTTCAATGAAGTCATCATCTCAGAGTTGTGAGATGGGACCCAGCATCGGGCTCTGTAGGGGCCTAGAGCCTGCTTAAGATTCTCTCCCTCTCCGCCCTGCATTCTCTTTCTCTAAAAAAAAAATAGGTAAATCTTTGAGGAATTTTTTAATGTCTCAATTTTCTTCTTCTGACCCTCACTGAACCCATAGTTTAGTAGGGCTAGCACTGAATAATTTTAATAAAATGTGACAAACACCATCAGAGGGCAAGCCTGGGTGTGGGAATGTGTGACCCATTGAGGCCTTCCAGAGGAACATTTTAAAAAAACCTAAGAGGGGTGCCTGGGTGGCTCAGTCGTTAAGCGTCTGCCTTCGGCTCAGGTCATGATCCCAGGGTCCTGGGATCGAGCCCCGCATCGGGCTCCCTGCTCCGCGGGAAGCCTGCTTCTTCCTCTCCCACTCCCCCTGCTTGTGTTCCCTCTCTGGCTTTCTCTCTGTCAAATAAATAAAACCTTTAAAAAATAAAAATAAAAAAACCTAAGAGATTCATGGTGATATGACAGGAAGAATAAAGTAGATGTGTGCTAAAAGCAAGGCTAATGGGTTTGTCTGTATATGTTCTTTGTATGCCAAGAGCAAAAGGAAGCCTCTTCAAGCTTCAGCAACAGTGGCCAAGATGCTGATAGCCTGAAAGAAGGTATTTGGCATTTGGAATAGTTTTAAGAAACTAGAAAAAACTGTTATTTCAGTAGTTCATGAAAGATGTTAATCCTTAGTCTCAATGAGTTTGATGATTAAAGAAGGCAAGCAATTATTTATTAGAATTAGTTGGAAAGACCTGGGGGCACCATACTTAAAAGTTCCAAGTCAAACACTAGTTTTGGAGCTAGATTAATTGAACACCACAGTAGTTCCTGGACCCACTGTGTGACCTTGGGCAAGTAACAGCAGTACCTTGTAGGCCTGTTGAGAGGATTAAGATATGTAGAATGAGTTTACCAATTCTGGCACATCAACATGTAGTAAATGTTGTCAGTGTTGTAGAGTGCCACACGTCCTGCAGTATATTTACAGGGATATCCTAAAATGACAAAACCATAGATTCAAAGGTTATTTATTTTTATAGAGCCCCAGAGTAAGCATGTTAAAATTATCCATATAAGTCTGGTTATAACCTACGTTTAATCTGGCACCTACTTGTCAGCACAATGACCGCTAGTTAGAGAGTTTTCCAGTTATAATTTACACACAAAGCTGTTTCACAAAATTTAACTATAAAGACATAGATTACTGAAAAAAGTAACAAAAGGCCACACATATATTTTAGTTAACAGATGTCTCGGGGCACCTGGGTGGCTCCATCGTTAAACGTTTGCCTTCGGCTCAGGTCATGGTCTCAGGGCCCTGGGATTGAGCCCTGCGTCAGGCTCCCTCCTTGGCAGGAAGCCCACTTCTCCCTCTCTCACTCCCCCTGCTTGTGTTCCCTCTCTCACTGTGTCTCTCTCTGTCAAATAAATAAATAAAATCTTAAAAAAACAAACAAAAAAAACAGATGTCTCAAATTGGAACAACAAATCTTCTGCAAATCCATTATTTTCTTTCAATACTTTCTGAAGTTAAACTTAGTTTTAAATAGTTGCACACTAGGTTACATCTTTAGAGTCCAAGAGCAAATGCTTTGGAAATCAGACACCTTTGTTTTCATGATTTTTTCTCAAACCGTTAAAGAACAAAACCAGCACTGTTGATACCTTCAGTTACTGTGGTAATCTTGAAAAGCAGGATATGCCAATGGCATTACTCTATTTTGGATACATTCTGACACAAAGATATTAATATTTACCAGCTGAAGGTCTTTAGTCAGCTGTCAGCAGAACTGAGGCTGCTTGGCAGTATGGGAAATAAGTAAACCTTGAGAAGCTGGTGCATAAGACCTTTCAAAGGACTCTTACACAGCATCTGACTATCTAGCTCTGTGGGGAGCCATGGTGCAAAGACGCATGGAATGGGTACTCAGATACTCAGGGAAGGCGGCTTCTCTGCAGAAGGGCTGTCTGAGCTAAGACCTGAAAGGAGACAAAATGGAGAAGGAAGATGGAACCAGAAAGGCAAACAGCATGTGCAGAGACCTAAGAGCAAAAGGCTTATCAAGGACTGAAAGAAACCAGTGTGGCCAGAAGGGAATCTGAGGGTGGTAAAGATGGGGAGATGAGAGGGTAAGGGTTAGACTGTGTTAAGGCCTGACAGGCCATGTTAAGGTAAGCAGGGACTATTTCTTCCCCATCACTCACCACAACGTCTAGCAGAGTTCACTTAATAAAGGCTATAAACTCATAAAAAGGGTGAGTTAAATGACAGTCTTCTGATAAGATGTGTGATTGGCATAGGTCATTGTCTTCCTCTAACGCAGCCCTGGAGATTACACAAACAAGAAGTAAGTCAGAGATCTGAAAAATTAAATATGATGAGTTCTTGGAGGAACTGATCATGATTGGGTCCTACTATAGAAGGGCAAGAAATGGAAGCCTAGTGCAGAAAAGGGCAGAGTGCAATGAGAGTAGGGGTAGTAGAGGCTAGGGCAGAACTTTTCCATTATGCCTTTTCCCCTCCTGCTCATTGCCTTACATCTTTCACTGGCAGGGTGGCCAACATCTTGCAACCTTACGTAGCCCCTGGAGTTCTCCAGAGTATTACAACTGAGGAGAAGGAGAGAGAGTTCTACTAGCTGCCACTCTGGTGAAGTCCAGATTCTAACTCAGAAGCTTTATGCCTTTGAGGGCATCTCCACCCTCCAACCCATTCTGACACCAGAACAAGGGCTTGGCTCCTCCCTTCTACAAGATTAAAACAACAACAACAAGTCCCATCCTCCACAGTGAGCTCATAGGGTAAGAAGAATCAACTTTTGCATCCGCTATAAAAGAAAACAAGGTCAAAGAATTCCCTCTCTCACTCCCCCTGCTTGTGTTCCCTCTCTCGCTGTGTCTCCCTCTGTCAAATAAATAAATAAAATCTTAAAAAAACAAACAAAAAAACCCAGATGTCTCAAATTGGAACAACAAATTTCAAGGGGAATTTCAAGGTCAACCATTATTCTAGATGAGGGAGAATAAACGACTATAGAATAAAAGGTGTTGAATATTAAAAATGAAATGTTTACACAATACGGGGGACAGTGAAGTAAAGATCCTGGTTATACAGTTCATTGTTCTACCAGCAGACAGGGCCTAGAAGCAACAGGACCTCAGTATCAAGAGCATATCTAGTGCCCAGATCTTGTTTCGTAATGCCATTCACCAGTAAAGGAACCAGGGGTCCCTGGACAAATGTTTGACACTGAGACAGGAAAGATACAAGATGAGCATGGAGCATCTTAATAGTGCCATAAAGTGAGAAGTGCTTAAAAACCAAAACCCCACAATGATGGAGGCATACTGAAGGTATACAGTAGCCAAAGAGCTCTCCCAAAGGCCAAAGCTGGAACACTGAACAAAATAAAGTATTACTGGATTACTTCCCAAAGCATAACAGAAATAGCCATGGGTTTATAGTGGTATAAATAAATTGAATGAGAGGTCAATTTATTTCTTAAGAATTCCAAGTAACCTACATAGATATTCCACCTTCAAAGAGAGCACAACTCCTGTCTTTTTAACTGTTTGTTGCACACAGTGATTTCATTCCAAAGCACACAGAATTGGGTCAGGGAGAGTAACTCTACAGTGGAGAAATTTGGCAAGACAAACCTCAGCCAGCTGATCAAGGTTAACAGCAACACTAATAAGTCACCTTGATAAAGAGAATGGAAATTTACCTCTATGGTCTTCCTCTCAAAATCCCTTAAGCCCAGCTTAATCATGAGAAAAACTCAATCCTGAGGGACTCAAATTCAAGGTCATCAAAAATAAGCAAGTCTAAGAAGCTGTCATAGCTAAAAGGAACCTAAGGAGGGGCGCCTGGCTGGCTCAGTTGGTAAAGTATGTGACTTGATCTCAGAGTTTTAAGTTTGAGCCCCATGCGGGGTATAGAGGTTACTCCAGAATAAAATCTTTTTTAAAAAAAATAAATAATAATTTTTAAAAGGAGCCCAAGGAGATATAACTAAATGTGATATCCTCACTGAGATCTTAGAACAAAGGACATTAAGTAAAAACTAAGGAAATGTGAATAAAGTATGGACTTAGGTAATAGTAATGTATCTATATTAGCTCACTAATTATGACAAATGAACTATACCAATGTAAAATGTTATTAGAGGAAACTGAGTGTAGGGTACATGGGAATTCTTTGTACTATCTTCACAAATTTTCTGTAAATCTACAATTATTCTAAAATAAAATTTCAAGGTCCATTTTATCAGCCTTTTCTGAGGTAGTAGTTAAGTCACCCTTAACAAGTAGTACAGAATAGTCTCATACTCTAAAGGGCCTTTACTGGAGAATAGGGAGGGCCAAAGTAACAGGCTTCTTAGAGCCAGACCTTAGGATACTAAACTGACAAATATATGACCCAGCAAGCTGGCTTATTGTTTCTAAATAGCAGTAAAGAGAAAAAATTGCTAAGCAGACATTCTAAGTATTACAGTTGATTTGTTAATTCAGTGAAATTGTTTTCCAAGAGAATATTGACAGGTCCATTAACTGGAGCTGTTCATAAAGCCCTAATTAGGCAACAAGATTCAAGGAGTCATTGTCACTCTTTTAAGTACTTAATTAGTTGCTCTTAAGGGATTGTTTTCTTTTGTGTGAATTCCCAGGCAGTGATCCACCTTTGTGTCCCTTTGGGGCCTGCACAATTTATTTCTCTGGGGTTTTATTTTTATTTTCCTGATTACAATTTGAGACATGATCCACAATTTTAATGCAAAACTCCACTGATAGCAGTTTCAACCCTGAAGGAAGGGAAGTAAATTACTGATAGGCACCAGGGATGGTCTACTCAATACTTGTGTCTCCCTACCCATCCTGGTTTAGTTTTTCCTCTTAGTGTGGCATAGGACTGAGCCTTGAAACTTGAGCAGGACAATGAAGAGGGTCACTGTCTACTAATTGCTACCTACAATAGGAGGTGGCAGCTTGGGGCTAAATAGTTACTTTAAAATGTTTTACTTCATCTTCTTTTATTTCCTCACTAGGAGATTAAAAAAAAAAAAATCAAGTCAACAGGGAGTAGTAGGTGACTGACTAACTTCACCTATCAACTAGGAAATCCCATTACATTATTTTAATGTGCATGATTAAGCCACTGAAATCTCCTGGGGTATTGAATACAGGTATCAATGAATCATCCTTCTTCAAGTAGCAACAAAGAAGCACCCTCCCTGCACGTGAGTAGCCTTAAGAGTAGTCAGGAAGGCAATCTGTATGCTCAGAGGAGCATACCATCCCAGATTTTAAACCAATATGTCATGACAAAGTCTTCCTCCTTTCTTAGGGACCATTTCTATTTCACGACCTAGGGCTGAAGCTGTGATCAGACTGCTGTTCTTAGAACCTCTCCTTTGGGTATACATTAAAAATGAAGAGAACCACTACGATAAAAGTAAGCCACGCAAAGAGTGTACACAAAAAACTCCAAACACAAGAAAGGACTATTCTAGTACTGGATAATTTACGAAAGTCATCTTAGTCCTCTAAAAGAGGTAGAGTTTAAGGCTAGAATGGTAAAGGCTTGCTGTGAGGCAAAGGTACTGATAACATGGAATTCTTCAGAGACACGTTGGTCTTGGCCCTGAACCTGTCACTAAATGAGCTGTCAAATCTCAAGGCCTGAATTTAATTTTCTAGAACAGGGATTGGCAAACCCTAGCTCACGGGCCAATTTTGGCCTGCCAATCTGTTTTTGAAAAGCCCTCAAGCTTAGAATGATTGGGGGAAATTTTTCAGTTATAACACTGAAAACTTTACAAAATTCCAATTTCAGTGTCCATTAATAAAGTTTTATTGGAACACAGCAATGCTCATTTGCTGACACACTGTTTATGCCTATGGCTGCTTTCATACTGCAAATGCAGAATTGAGTAGCTACAAGAGACTATATGGTGTACAAACCTAAAATATTATCTGGCCTTTCACACCAAGTTTGTCAACCCGTGCTCTAGAACATCAGTGTATAGTGAAACTTCCCACATTGGTCGAAATGTTCTTAGCTGTCCACTATGGTAGTCACTAAACACTGACATGGAAAACCACATTTAGTTTTTGTCAGTTGAAGTAGTGTCATGTATTGTACAACACAACTCTATGAGACTTTAGTTTAAGCCTTGGACCTTAGATCAAGTATTCTCTAATATTCTCGTACTCTAACTTTTTAGAGTACTAAGTTTTAGATAGGCAGCCCTATGTGAACTCTAAGTTTTAGAACTCTAAATTTTTCCACCTGTGAAGAAAACCTGTTTTTTAAAAAAATTTTCTTTCTTTTAAAGTAAGCTTTACAAACAACATGGGGCTTGAACTCAGGACCCTGAGATCAAGAGTCGCATGCTCTTAAAAAAAAAAAAAAAAAAAGTCACATGCTCTATGGACTGAGCCAGCCAGGAGCCCCAAGAAAACTTCACTTTATATTTGTCCTTTACTCTCACACTACTACCACACTCCCACCATTTCTGACACCAGATGTGTGTGGGTTTTCCCCCACACCAAGCAAGTCTGTGTCACCAGCTGGGTGTCCTACAGTTTCACTCAGTTCTGACACTATACACCTGGAGTATCATCAGACCCCACAGGTTAAGGGCACAGTCCAACAAGACTGCTCCTCCCTCACTGCAGATGCCAATCACAAGTCCAGGTTGTTACCAGTGCTTCTGACCAGTTTCTGATATAAATCAGAGGTTCCCACAAACCCCCCTCAGGTTTGATTAATTTGCTAGAGTAGTTTCAGAACTCAGGAAAATGGTTTCATTACTGTTTACCAGTTTATTTTAAAAGGATATGAGACAGGCTATAAACATCCAGATGGGAGATGCACAGGGCAAGGCTATATGGAAAGGGACATCGAGCTTCCACGCCTTCTCTGGGTGCACTACTCTCCCAGCCCCTCCAAGTGTTCACCACCTAGAAGTTCTCTCAACTCCACACTACTGGGATTTTTATGGAGGCTTCATCATGTGGGAATGATCAATTATTAACTCCATTTCCAGGCCCTTTCCCTTTTCTGAAGAATGCAGGTGGGGCTGAAACTTCTAAGCTTCTAATCATTGCTTGGCCTTTCTGGTGACCAGCCTCATTAGAACAAGACATTCCAATCACCCAGGAAATTCCTGGGTTTAGGAGCTCAGTGTCAGGAATCAGAATCAAAGACCAAATATTAAAACAAAAGATGCTCCTACTGTTCTTATCACTTAGGGAATTTTAAGAGTTCTGGGAACTCTGTGCCAAGATGGGAGCAGAGGCCAATATGTATTTTTTCTATTATTTCACACCACCCATCTGAGCTGAAACAAGTTCATGAGAACCTACACGACAAAAGGGACTATATACATTACCTATCCTGATGTCACATAGGGTTGTCAGACATCTGAGGTCCTGATGGAGGCAGATTTCTCACTCGGGTAAAGGCATCTAGGATTCAAAGAGGAAAGGAATGACAAGCTATCCCTAAGATAGGGTCCTTTCCTCAAAAAACAAACAAACAAACAAAACTGTTTGCACCCAGACTAGGACCAACTCCACAGGAGGAGTTACTCCACTCTCACAGGTGCAAAACGCTGCCCAAGAGTACTTAGCCACAACACCAAAACAGTGCTTGGAGCCAGACCTCAATAAAGGCCGCATTTGCTCTTCCAACAGTGTAACACCATCCAAGGCATCATACTAGCCTGGATAGCTGACAACAGCTGGGTGATTCCCAAAACAGCTTTCTTTGTTTCAGATACCCAGACACCCCAAGTAGAAGATAGGGATACAGGTATCCTCATGAATTCAATTGTTGACTACAAACCAGAAGCCTGGAAGCACTGATGGCAGACTTTGCTGCCAAGCCCTTTAAACAAATAGGAAACAGGAACCCCTTTCCCATGCCTTCAGTCATTCTGTCCAACATTCAGGGAATTCCTGCTATGTGCCAGGCACTATGATTGGGATCTAGCAGTGAACACACAAGATACACCATCCTTGTTATCCGGGACTTTACAATCTCCTTTTACATTCCTCAGATGGAATGGTACAGATAATCTCAGAGATCCTACATGACTTCAGACCATAACCACCAAAATCCCACTTAGCCTTTCACAGCTCAGAGGCCGAACTTGTTTGGGGGGGGGGGGGGTGTTGGCGCGGGAGCACAAAAACGGTGATTTTGCCTCCCCGCTGCTTCCTGATGGTTACCAACCAGCAAACAGGCCTGCCACACAGGAGGCAGTCATTGTTGGAATGAATAGGGACATTTACCTGAGAATGCCATTACAGACTGTTGACCAGCCACTAATTTTCTCTCTTTAGGAGGACCCAGGATGCCCCACTTTCAAGTCATCCTGAAAAAGAAAAAGATTTCATGGTTCAACACCCCAGACTAAAACAGTAGCTCCTGAAGCTGCTTTTCTGTAGAAATGGAAACAATGCTGTCTGCCATTTATGATTTACTCTATTTTCAATACCCTCCAGAATTATTTTATTTCCCATTGTCTTTTTCTTGCCTATAATTACCATTAAAGCTAACCATTTCCCCAAACCCTCTAGATTGCGTGACTCCTAAGACGCCATACGTAAAAGGCTATTTACAATGAACATCTGAGGTATTCACACAAAGCACTCAACATTTAGCTAAGTTAACCCTTTTGAGGGAAAGCCAATTGACATAACAAAGCTAGCTTTTATAAATAACTCCCATGCCTCCTAACATCCTCACCAGTTCCTCCTGTGGAATCTAGGCTGTCACTTCACAGAAGCAACAACTAAGTCAGCCCTATTGGACAATCTCCAGCATCACCCTGACTGCAAAACAAAATCACTACAAAAAGGGACCCAGTATTTACTGCTCCAAAGGGGCAACAACTCTGTTCACTCCTGAAAATCAGTAAGAAACCAACAAAAATATAGTGTCAGCCTAAAGCAGAAATTAGTATGGTTGTAGCTAAGCCTACTGCCTAGAGCTTCTCAATCTATTGGTTTTTTTCTATTTTATTAAAGACCTAAAGAATGCCCTAATTTTAAAGCAAATTCACATCAACATTTCCCTAATCAGGCATTCCTATAGGTAACTGCATCTATGAAACCCCCTACAAAGGGATCAGCATGACTAGCTTTCTATGGTGCAGGAATGGGGGCCAGGCACTTTGATTTCAGTGAAAAATTGCAAAAATCCCATTGACTCTTTGGAGCACTGGTAGGCACTCAAAAAATAAAAAGGTGACTTTCTCCCTCTACTACATTCTTCATGGCTCGATTACCTTTGTTCTGTTTCCAAGGTATGATTCAAGTAACTTCATACTAGCCAAACCTGTTGAACAAGAACCACTCAAAAAGATTTGGATTTTTAGGTTTCTCCCTGCAGTCATGCCCTTACAGATTTAACCTTAATGAATAAACAATTATGCTGGCATCCTGGTATAGTTAACAACAGAGTTGGCATGAACCAGGCCCAGAATGCCAACCAGCTATCGGCTGCTGTTCTCCCAGCAGTGTAACACTTGCCTAGGTACACAGCAACCTAGGCAGCTGCCTACAGCTGGGGCCGAAGGCAGGCTAATGAAGTTGCACTCACCTGGGGCTGCCTCTGTCCAAAGCCCATGGCTGTCCCCTCTGCAATCAAAGCACTCCAGGTTAGAGTCAGCCAATAGTGAACACTAACGTGAAGTTCAAGACCTCTGCCCGCAAAAACCCCATAAATTATTTCTGAGTCATAGAAATAGGCAATAAAACAAAAAGCTTTTCCTTGGGTAGCTTTATTTTCTCACGTCATCTGTTAGCCATGGGCCACAGCAACTCAACCGGAGCATTTTTTTTTTTTAACATTTTAAGTAATTTACACCCAACATGGGGCTCGCACTTACAACCCTGAGATCAAGAGTTGCATGCTCTTGATGAGCGACTGAGCCAGCCAGGGGCCCCTCAACAGCGGCGTATTAATGATCTAGTCAACAAGTAGAAGGACGCTTGGCTCTATCACTTAACAGCTAAGTAACAGTGAACAAGTAACCTCTCCATACCTCTCAGTCTCATTTGTAAAATGAGAATGTTATCAATAGTACTCTGTACACGAGCTGGTTGTTAGACCAAAAAATAATACAAATTAAGCCCAAGAATATCTGGTATAAAGTATGTGGTCAATAAACACTTCCTGTTATCAAGAGCTACATTCCAGGCAAGGAGATGATGAATAGGGGGAATAGAAGTGGGAAAGTTATTACCTTGGGAGAGCAATGGGCAGGGAAAATCGGAAAGGCTGGTTAAAACTAGATTGGAGAGGATGTGGATTATGAGACCTTTTGAAGAACAATAAAGCAGTACTTCGGAGAAATCCGATGTGATAATGGTATGAAAGGAACTGGAAACAAGCTGCCATTCCTGCCAACGACCTCAACTATTGGTTGAAAGCAGTAACCAAAATGTTTGCAAGAATGTTAATAAATATTCCTACCCATTCACCATTGTAATTTACCTTATTTACGTAAGATTAGGGTATCTAAGACAATACCTTTTTCCAGCCATGCTCTAATTTCACTCTTAACAAACTCCAAACAATTGAGAGAAAAAGTAAAATAGAGGGGGGGCCCATTGTTGAGGTCTAAAAACGAAATCTTAAGAAAGCCTGCCCCTTTCAGGGGCTTGAAAGACCTGACCGAGCTCCACCCGGACACGTGCTCATCACAAATCTTCCCCAGCTCCTGGCCCCGGCGCCAGGCGCCTGGGAAACGAGACTCGCTCAGACCAGATCTAGGTGACTCTCCAGGGACAAGAGGGATGGTAGAAAACAGGGGGCGACTCTAGGGCTACACTCTCGCAGCGACTCTTCTAGATGCCCTCCAAACCCGGGGTCATGATGGAACGAACCCCAAATTCGTCCCGTGCCTCAGAAGAAGCCTCCCCACAGCTGCCTCTCTCCCCGAACTAGCAAACCTCCCAAGCTTCTCCCCACTTGGCCCTTAACTCACCCGCACGTGTCGGGAGCTCCGCCGGGGCGCTCCCGCCGGAGCAGAGGCCGCAAGGAAAAGGACAGCCCGAGACCGAGGGGAGCCCCGCCCCGGGGCGGATACGGAGCAGGCCCTTAGTGGGCGGGGCCCGGAAGCCCCGCCCAGGAAAGTCCGGGTTAGAAAGATGCAGGAGCCGTGGCAGAGGTGAGCTTACTCCTTAGAGAAGCTAGCACCTCACAATAGGAAGGGCAGGAATCTGCACGAGGGCTACACTTATTTGACCCCCATCCCGTTTGTTACTTACCGATGGGAGGGGGCGTTGGGTTTGGAGGTGCTAAAGACTGAACTTGGTGTGTCCTAAGGGGGGCCGTGCTTCCTGCCTGCCCACACCGAGAGCCCGCCGGATGCCGGATCCTGTCGCACGAGTGGCTTCTTTGGGTTCCTGCTGGTGCAGCCCACGCTTTTTCCACCTCCCGCTCAGATCTCTCAGGCTTTCTCCAGTAGGGTTGTCCCTGGGCTGATGGCTCGCCCACCCACACAGGTCACCTTAGTTTTCGGGTTCTCTCCAGAAGATTTTCGGGTAGATTCTGCCTGGCACTCCTACAGCCTAACCCTGTGGGTCAGCGTCCCTGATGCCCTGCAGTGGCATCCTTAGTTGAGTTGCAGTACCTAAAGAATACTGGCTTTCTCTCTGCCAGAGTTGCCTTGCACCGTGGCACAGTCAGCCAAGGAGGCACATCTTGAGTTTAGACAGATTGCCCACCAGGTTATCAGCATTTCTTATGAACACTAAAACTTCTCCCATTAGCTAGAGTCAGTACAATTCTGTCCTGCTGAATAGTTGGTAAAGCTGGAGCCCCTCTCTCCTAGCCCCCACGGCAGCCTATCCTGTCTGCTCATCTATAGCACCTGGCACCTTTGCCAGGCAAGCCCCTAGGAATCAGCCACTGCCCTTGGCATTTGCCAACATGTTTTATTATCTTCCCTCAGCTGTCATAATGAGAGGAAATGTGTTTCCTGCGCACCGCATTCCTCACAGACCTCTGCTGAGAAAGGCCAGAGTGCAAAATTGATTCCGGCTAGAGACAGGCACTAGGCTCTAAGGCGAGAGAGAGACAAGTAGTAAGCACAATTCCTCCAGTTTTGATGGAGTCGGACACAGGCTGTGGTTGGAAAAAGGCTTACATAAATGCAGTAATTAAAAAAGTCACATGAGCAGTGCTGAGCTAGTAGGCAGGAGCTCTGCTTTGCAGTTAAATAGGAATGTGGATGAAGACTGCTGCCATAATCAATGCCTGCATCCGGCTGTCACAGTGTGTTCATAAAAGAGGGTTATGAGAGCTATAAACCCCTGCAGATTGGGTGGGTAATTGTCCCGTGGAGCTCTGCTAAAGGCGAAATTGCATTGACATCTCACATATTTTGCTTTCTTTTCTTCTAAACACACAAAATGGAGAAGGAGAGCTATCCTGAGGATTCAGGAAAAGGAAAGGTGAGGTTTGTGTGAATATGTGCATGTGTGCTTTCAGGGAAGAGACAGGAAGTAATTGAGGCTAGAGAAATACAGGGCCTTTGGGGAGAGAAGGACCAATGACCTGGTGACTACTGGATTCATAGATTAGTCAGGTAGGAGGCAGGATTTGTGTGGAAAGAAGGCCAACCATTATGAGTAAGGCTGAGTGGTGGGCCATGTTGTCATGTCATTGAAAATGTAAACTTTTTTAGGTATAGGGCATTCAGTGTCCTACGGAGGAAAACCTAGATTATGATTTCTGCATTTCCTAGTTAAAAATTTCTTCATAGTCAACCTTCTTAGCCTCTAACCTTTTAAATTCTGAATTCATTTTGGTGAGTTGATTGACATGGTCTTTTACCTGTCATAGCAACTACTTTTCTACTGTGTTTCTGTGTTATTCTTTTTTTTTTCCTTCCACATTTTTATTTAATGTTTCTTATTCTTGCAAAGACAAAATTGTTAGGAATAATAACAAAAAAAGAAAAGGGAAAATTTCTAGGAAAAAAAAAAATGCAGCCAGATGAGAGACAAAGGATTAGGGTAGGTTCATTAGCTTTGAGTTTGACCTCATAATTGGATCTAGCCCTAAGGGACACTAGGTCCCCAAACTTCTTGCGTGCCTTTCCCTCTCTCCTCTGTCTATACTCTCCTTGCTTCCCTTCTTGAAGCCTTTTGCCCTTGAGATTGATCCCTTTCCTCTCCTCCCTGGACAGGAACCACCAGTAGAGAAATGTTCAATCATATATTCAGTCAGTCAGTAAACCAGCATTTACTGAACATCTACCATTTGCCAGACCCTGTGCAGGTGCTTCAGATAAAGTCAGAGCAATAGAGATCTCTGCTTACCTAAAGCTTACAATTTAGTGGGGGGGAAATGACAAATAGTCTAGGTATCCCTGGACAGATGTCAGAGGACAGCTAACCTAGCTGGGGGAGTCAGGGAGAGTACTAGAGATGGCAGCATTCCCTCTGGATGATCCTAAGAGCTTAGAGTTGAAGAGGGATCCCTCCTTCATCCCTGTACTCTACTCCTCCTGCTGCTTCTCTGTAATAGCTATCCAGAGTAGAGTGGGGCCCTGTAGTTGTCCTTGTTATTTCTCAAAAGCATAGTTGAATTGGCAAGGATATACAGAAATTGGACTCCTCATACGCTTCTGGTGGGAATGTAAAATGGTGCAACTGCTTTGAAAAACAGTCTGGCAGTTCTACAAATGATTAACCACAGAGTTACTTTATGATTCAGCAATTCCACTCCTAGGTATATACCCCAGAAAATGAAAATATATATCCACACAAAAACTTGTACACAGATTTTCGTAGCAGCATTATTCATAAGAGATAAAAGGTTGAAATAGCCCAAATGTCCATTAACTGACAAATGGATAAATAAAATGTGGGATATCCATACAGTGGAATATTACTTGGTCATAAAAGGAATGAATGCTACAACGTGAATGAACCTTGAAAATGTTACATTAAGTTAAAGAAGCCAGACCATATATTGTTTGATTCCATTCATACAGAAGTCCAGAATAGGAAAATCTGTAGAGACAGAAAATAGATTAAGGGCTGCTCAGGCCTGAAGGGGAAAGGAGTGAAAGATCAAGGTTCTAGGTTTCTTTTTGAGGTGATGATGAAATATTCTAAAATTGTGATGGTTGTACATATCTGTGAATATAATAAAAACCACTGAATTTTATACTTTAAATGGGTGAATTGTATAGTATGTGACTTCCATGCCAAAAAAGCTATTAAAACAAGAATGAAAAACATATTAGGCGACCTGAAAGATATGCAGTTCTGATTAAAATTGTGGTCTGCATGGTCGTTGCCAATTTTAAGGTTTAAAAAGGACTTTTTATTCTGGGTCCTATGGCCCCTCGGAGCTCCTTTCTCACTATACAGAGAAGTTAATGCATTTGAGTGGGCAGCATGAACAGAAGCAAAGGAGTAGACTGTGCATTCCCATCCTTGCACTACCTAACTTCCCTCCCTCATAATGATTTGGTTAACATTTATGGTATACCTACTGTGTGTAAGACTTATGGACCTGAAAGAGACAGAGTCTCTTTATTCATTCCAGTGGCAGAAGTTAAATCATTAATATAATGCTGTTTATATAAAGAACTCTTTAGGAGATAGACAGTGTGACAGAAAGAATCGTTGCAAGGCATTTTGGGATTCTGGACTTCTTCTATAGCATGTAGGGAAACATCATAATGACATCAGCTAGAGCAAGACCAATTCCCAGTCCTTCTTGATGTTGAGCAAGTTCCAAGAGTTGGCTGCCTCCTCACATGCCTCCAATCACCTCGTCATTTGGTTTCTAGACTCAATTAGTCTATTTCCATACCCTTCATTTTCTCACCAACTCCACCCCCACAATGTCCAAATTGGCCCTCCAATGCTGAAACCATTTGCCAGAAATTCATTAAGCTGAACACATGGGAAATTACAGAGGAGATTTCACTTGTCACTTAGGCTCAAATATAGCAAGTAATTTTAAAAGGACAGTGGCAAGAGGCTATTTTTATCTTGCTTGTTTGTGCTGAGTTTTCTTATCTTGCTGTCTCTCAGTCTCTTCCTAGCTACCTCTCTTCTCCTTCTTTAAATTAAATGTTGGCCTTTTAAGTCTTTTTCTCGGATTCTCTTATCTTGTTTTACAGAGTCTTCTCCTTCTGTCCTCATCATACATTCAGTCAACACATATTGAGTATCTACCACATGGCAGGCCCTCTGGTAGGCACTAGGAGAGATGGAGTGATGAATAAGACAAACATGGTCCTTACCATTATGATTACAGTCTGATGAGGCAGGTGGACATCAGGTGGAGTGAGTTCAAATTTGGTCACAGCAAAGACTTGAGGGAGTTATTTGCACTTTTATGATGTTAAGTGTACCCCCCGGTAAATGGGCATGTAAAAATCGCCAGAATCCCAGCATGTTTGTGGGGTTAGGGAATAAATCTAATATATCACAAGGAATGGAAAAAAAACAAAGATCCAGGTTTCTGTGTGATACAGTCAAGCCCCCTGGGTAGAGAGAACATGGATTTGGGAGTCATATGTTGGTGAGATTCTAACACCACCACCTTACATGTCAGCTATTTGACTTTAAGTGACCTCTGGACATCAGTACCTTCACCTATAAAATGGGAATTATAATCTCTACATTTTAGGTTGTTGTGAAGATGGAATGAGATGTCTTATATAAGGGACCAGGCAGGTGCTCAACCTATGTTACTTTCTTTCTCATGACCTCCCTACCCCACTTTGAATCATATACTCGGAAAAAAGAAAAAAAAAAAAAAAAAGCCCAGTCTCCCAGCTGGTGGGAAGTGGGGTTCCTCAAATAATATTCACCAATCATATGCCCAGAGAGATGGGTTATAACCATATTGATTAGTATAAATTGCTCTATACATGCAACTTAGGACAGTCAAATCCCTCCCTTCTTCTTTGGTAAAGGAAAGGTAGTAAAAAATGAAGTTATAGGGAAAAGACTGAAATGAGATGTAACAAA